AGGGACTAGAGGCAAAGACCTATGAGGAAAGATTGAAAGAACTAGGCATGTTCTGCCTCAAGAAGAGAAGACTAAGGAGTGCTATGTTAGCACTCTACAAAGTCTGTCACATAAAGGAAGGATGAGATCCCTTCTTGTTCATTCCAGACTGCAAGACACGAAATGATGCACTTAAGTTAGAAGAAACTAGTTTTAGACACCAGGAAAATTTTTCTCACTGTCACAGCTGTGTAACAATGGAACCTATTGTCTGGAGGAGTTATGGGCTCTTCCTTGCTTTCAGACATTCAAAAAGTGTTTGGTTCCAATTCGTGAGGCAACTGCATGAGCGGCTGAAAAGGAACTGAGGGACTGGGCGGGAGCCCTTCCCCTGGGTGGGAGTCCCTTCCATGTTGCTGAGCTATGGAAATTTTTCTTTTTGATCTAGGCCTTGCGTTGCATGGCAAAGCCCAGATGTGTGATTGCACAGAGATCACAAAGAAGAACCTTCAAGTTCAGAGGCAGTATGCCACTGAATACTGCTTAAGAAGGTTACTGCCCCAAAGCATGTAGTTGGCCACAGTGGGAAGCTGGATGCTAGAGCAGATAGATGCTTGTTCTGACACAGGAGGGATACACACACAATTATTTTATTTCTATACTCCCCCAAAGTCAAAACTCTCCAGTTGGTCTGCAACAGTTTCTAAAACAGGAACACAATACAATATCTTTTTACAATAACAACTTTTCCTAAAGTTGACATGTAAAACAACTGAACAACAAAATAAGAAAAGTTTTTACACCTAAATCAATATTTGACAGAGTACAGTTAAAAACATTATATATGGGTGCCCCCACCAAGTCAACAATTATCCTTGGATGTTGTTAGATGTCCCAACATAAAGAATTTGGTACCAAAAAGACAGACCTGGCACCAGGTGTTCAGTGGGGAGCTCATTCTACAGTCAGGAGGCCATTACTGAGAAGGTGCTGCCCTTTTTTCCAACCTCCAAGTCTACCCTGGAGCTGGCACTTGAAGGAAGACCCCAGATCTTAGAAGTACTTCATGAAGCACTGCAGTCTAAAACCATGTACATCTTTATAAATTAAGGCCAGAAACTTGAACTAGGCTTGGAAGCATTTAGGCAGCCAGTACACTGGAGCTGGAGCTGGTCTTGTTCAGACCTTCTGGTCCTGGTTATCAATCTAGCTGCCACATTTTGCCCAAGCTGCAACTTCAACCAGTCCCATGTAGAGTACACTGCACTAATCTAACTTGAATCTAATTTGAATTATTTATTTATTTAACTGGTTACATGTTGCCTATTATGACATGGCACCTCTAGGTGGCTCCCGATCAAGTAAAAACCATTATAAAACCAAAACAACAGCTACACATCAATAAATATAAACATTAAACACTCAAATACATCTGAACAGACCTTAAGTAACTCTGAACATGAAGGGTAACTTACAGCTGAAATACTGTACAGGTAACATACATGAAACACACACTTAAACTACCAGAGTAACAGCCTCAAAGGTTGTACATACAGTAATTTATAAAAACACAGAAACAGAACGAGTCAGAAGGGACCTACCAGGTCATCTAGTCTGACCCCTGGCTCTAGCTGGCTCTGCTCACGACATGCCTACCATGTGCATGTCCAGCCTATCCTTGAACATCTTCACCGAAGGGGCCTCAACCACCTCCCATGGAAGCCTATTCCATACCCTTGAGGTCCTAACTGTCCGGACTTCCTGACATCCAAACAGAAGTTTACTAAATAAATAAATAAACATAAATAAATTGAACCTTGGTCCCCTGAGCTTGGCTCCACTGGAACACGTCCTGCCCTCCTCTTCAGGGGAGAACATGTCTCTACCCACCTCTGGGTGACACCCCCTCACATTCCTATATGTGGCCAACAGATCCCCTCGGAGTCTCCTCTTCTTCAGGCTGAAAAGACCCAGTTCCTTCAGTCTCACCTCAAACGGCATCCCCTGCAATCAGGCCACCATCCTTGTGGCTCTTCATTGCACTGACTCTAACCTAGAATCCATTGGACAGTGCATTGGTCTATTCCAAAACTCCTCATTTTCTTAACCAGGAGATCATGGGGCACTTTGTCAAAGGTCTTGCTGAAATCCAGGTAAACCACATTCACTGTGTCCCCTCTGTCTAGCCACCTTGAAACCTTGTCATAGAATTTCATAGGGTTTGCCTGGAAGGACCCATTTTTGTGGAAACTGGGTTATGTGGCAACCAACCTCCCTTCCCTATCTAGCATCACTAGATCTCTCACTATTATGAGCCTTTCCATTGTTTTTCCTACAATGGACATAAGGCTAACTGGTCTGTAATTCCCCATGTCCCTTCTACAACTGTTTTGAAAATTGTGACCACTGATGCCACCCTCCAGTCCTCTGCAACTTCAGCTGTTCTCCACGAGGCCTCAAAAATGGAGGCCAGCAGGCATGAGAGAAGCCCTGCCAACTCTCAAAGTATTCTCCGGTGTAACTACTCCTAAGTCTCTGGCCTCATCTAATCTCCCATGTGGATCTCCCCTGTCCTGCTTTGGGGAGAACACACAGGCAAAATAGTCATTTAGCATCTGTGCCTGCTCCCTCGCATTGGTTCCCTTCCTCCTTATTAAGCGGTCCCACTACCTGTCTCCATTTCCTCTTGCTATTTACATGCTGATAGAAGTCCTTTTTGTTGCTCTTGATATTCTTTGCAAGTCTCAGCTCCTAATCAGCCTTAGCCTTGTGAAGAATCCTTCTGCAACGGGCCTCCTCCTCCCAGTATACCCTTTTGTCTATTTGCCCCAGTGCCCAATGCCTATGGAGGTTCCTCTTGCGTCTAATCCCTCTAACCATATCCTTTCACATCCATGGTGACACTCTCCTTTGCCTCCCTGCCTTACTAACTAGAGGTATTGTCAAAGCTTGAGCTTCCAAAACCTCCCTTTTGAGTGCCATCCACTCCTCCTCAACACCCTTCCCTTCCAGTAACCTATCCCAGGAGACTTTCCCCAGTCTGGCCTTCAGTTGGCCCTCTTGAAGTTCCAGCTTCTAGTGCTCCTGTCCCCATTCCCCTGATCTCAAAGCAAAGGATGGAGTGATCACTCACATCCAGAGCTCCCCTTATCTGTACTTCATCTATCAGCTCCTCCCTGTTGGTCAAAAGCAAGTCAAGGATGTCCCCCACCCCCGTTGCCTCTCAGACCCTCTGCGTGAAAAACCCTCTCTTTATAGCATCTAGGAAGCGATGTGACCTGGCTGTCACCACTGCGTGAGTCTCCCAACTAATATCCAGGAGATTGAAATCTCCCATAATTACTGTGTCCCTCCCACAAGATATCCTTAGAATCTGATTTGTCAGGACATCATCCAGAGTCTCAAGTTGACCTGGAGGGCAATAACATACCCCCACTGCCAGGTCCCTCTCCCTCTCAAAACCCCTTGGTTTCACCCAGACTGCCTCTACCAGATCCCTGTCTGCGCTGCATTCTATCTCACTGCATCCTATCCCTTCCTGACATATAAAGCTATGCCGCCACCCCTCTTTCCCTTTCTAAACAGGTGATAACCCTCTATGTTTACATTCCAGCCTTGCCTTTCATCCCACCATGTTTCTGTGATCCCCACCAGGTCATACCCTCCTATTCTCAGGAGAGCTTCAAGCTCTTCCTGCTCATTACCCATGCTCCTAGCATTGGTGTACATGCACCTCAAATCCTTCCCACAGCTTCCTTTCTTTGGGATCCCCAGTCTCCTCCTTCCTCCCATCTTCCCTAATACCGGTCCCCTCTTGTAGGAGTCCTGCCAGCCCCTGCAGTACCTCTAACACCCTGGTCCCAGAGCCCTGATCCTCTCTCCTCACTTGTCCAATGCAGACAAGTTTTGCGGGGGCCTGATGCCCCCCTCCCAGCTCAATTTAAAGTCTTCTGGACAAAGCTCACCGGAGCATTTCTGAAGGACCTTTTCCCCATCCTCATGAGGTGCAACCTGTCCCTTGCCAGAAGTTCATTGGCAAGAAACAAGGTGCCATGGTCGAGGAACCTGAAGTGTTCCTTCAGGCATCACACTCTAAGCCAGTGTTTCACCTCGGAGACCCTCCTTTCCCTACCTGGCCCAAATTCCTGGACTGGTAAGATAGAGGAAAAGGCCACTTGGGCATTTACATCCCTGAGTTTCTTTCCCAAGGCCTCGAAGTCCCTGGTGATCCCACCCATACCCTGCTGGTGACCCCTGGAGCAAACAAGATGCTCCACTCTATCCTTCACATGCTGGATGCATGCGCCTGGCAGGCAACAGACCTCCCTCACCGCAAGATCAGGGCAGCACACCGCCGCTTCTGTGCCCCTCAACGGGAAGTCCCCGATGACAATCACCCACCATCATCCCTTCTTGGTGGTGGAAGGAGGCCATGCCCTGGCCCTCGCCTCTCCTGCAGCAGCCTCCTGGCTGCATGTGGTCCCAGGGTCCTGTTGGTCACCCAAGGTCTCATCAGCCCCAGCCTCCCCAAGTGGAGAGAACCTGTTTCCCAGCTCCAGGTTGGCACCGGGAGAAGGATAGCCTCTTCCTCCTGTGGGTGACATGTTTCCATGTCTTCCCAGCTGTTCCTCCCATGGCCCTCCCTCAACCCTCTGCCTGGAGGGGGACTCCAGGAGGCCTGGAGAGCTCTCTCGGCCCTCAGACACCTCACCATCTCCTCTAGGAGGGTCACCAGCTTGCATCAAGGGCAAGTGTATCCCTGTCTCTCCTGAGGGAGAAGGGCGAACATGTCACAGTGGCCAGCAACACCTGTGATTCCTGCCAAGGCCATCTCCTGGCCTGACATTGGGAACCCCTCAGAGACCCTACCTTGTTCCCCCACCTTGTCTGTCCTGCATTACTCTTCACTCACCCAATTCTTGCCTTCACCAGTGCCCTGGACACCCTCAGCACACTCTCTCAGCCTCTGCCTCTGCTGCTCCACTGCTCTCCCAAGAGCCAAATAATAATAATAATAGTACCTGCAGTGTACAAGCACTGGCTCATTCTCCACCCTCTTTGCTCTTATGCAGGTCACAAATTCCAAGAAGTCTGTAGAATCATCAGGGACACCATGATCAGGCCAAGCCACATACTGGAGATGACTGACTGTATGTTCTTCTCCTGTCTGAAATAAATCAACAGTTGCACTCTTACTAGTGGCATTGTTCTAAAATAGCCTTCATTTAAAATTCTACAACAAGCTCAGTTTCAAACAACAATCACCTACCCGTTTGGAATATTTGGGTTAGCTGGTGAAATGTTAAAAGAAAAAAAGTTGCTTTGTGGTCAAAATATTGGTTTACCAATTATAAAATTTTCAGACCAAGAAAAAAGAGAAAGCCCTCTCCATAAGCCTTGTGTCAATATAACCCTACTGAAAATAGCTCTTGCAGTTACATTCGTATCTAAATGCTTTTTACATCAAGAAAATGAAACTATTTCAGGCATGCAGAAACTCTAATTCATGGATCAAATACAGCCAGTGGTCATTCCTCATCAGGCTCAAAAAGTTTCTTTCCTAAGCCTTTTTCTTGTCCCAGGATTGAGAGAGGGTAAATGACTTATCTCCAATCTGCAGCAGGCTTTCTCTTTTTGAAAAGCTGGGTCTGCTGCGGTTTATCTACAGTGAATAGCTCCCTTTCTCTGCCTCAGCACCAAGGCAGGCTTCTATGTTAGGGTGGGGGAAAGAGCTTATCTCTGATTAGCAGCAGACTGGAGGTAAGTCCTTTTATCTGCTCCCTACTGAAAAGGAGAGTCTCTTTCAGTGCTGGACAGGTAAAAAACCTTCCCAAGTTGATATGCATGCATCAGCTGAGGTGGGGTGTGTGTGTGGAAACTGAACACAAGTGTGACTATATATGGTGCTGTCTGTGGAGGAGAGAAAAAGGGAAGTGTGTGTATGTGTGCGCAGACAAGAAAATGTGAGGGAGGGTTCTGTGATTCCATCCACATTGAGCAGAGGCACCTCCCATGTTGGGTGGTGGTGCCACCCACTAATGGAATGAAGTTCCTGACATATCAGACAGGTGCCAGTTTGGCCCATGGGCTGAAAATGGCTCCTTATCTCTGCCTGATATAGTTCCAGATTTATTTAGCACAACAAATTGTGTAAAATCATGGAATCATAGAATATTAGATTTAGAAGGGGCCAGGGGACCATTGGGTCCAACCACCTGCTCAGTGTAGGACTCCAAATTAAACCATTCCTCTCAGATGGCTGTCCAGTTGCATCCTGAATGCCTCAAGAGTAGGAGAGCCCACAGCCTCCCTAGGTAATTGTCATGCTGCTCTAGACAGGAAACATTTCCTGGTATCCAGCCAGAACCTGGCTTCCTGTAATGTAAGCAAATTATTCCACACCCTGCACTCTGGGATGATTGAGAAGAGATTCTGTCCTTCCTTTTTGTGACACCCTTTCAAGCACTTGTAGAGTGCTATCATATCTCCCCTCAGTCTTCTCTTCTAAGGTTAAAAATGCCCTGTTCTTTCAATCTTTCCCAATATGGTTTTGTTCCCAGTCCCTGGATCACCCTTGTTCCCCTTCTCTAAACCCTTTCCAGCTTGTCTGCATCTTTCTTAAATTGTGAGGCCCAGAACTCCTGATGAGGACTAACCAGTGCTGAGTAAAGGTAAACTCATGGGATATGGAAGTGATACTTCTATCAATGAAGCCTAAAAGAGAATTTGCCCTTTTTGCAGCCACATCACATTGTTGACTCATATTCAGTTTGTGATCTACAACAATTTCAAGATCCTTCTCACATGCCATATTCTTGAGTCCAGTATTCCTCATGTTGTGATGAAACATTTGGTTTCTTTTCCCTAGGTGCAGAACTTGGTATTTGTCCCTACTGAATTTCATTCTGTTGTTTTTAGCTCATCACTCCCCTCGTATAAAAATCTCCTTGAATTATATTTCTGTCTTCCAAGGTATTAGCTATCCCATCCATTTTTGTGTCATCTGCAAATTTCATAAGCATTCTCTGTACTTCCTCATCCAAATCATTAATAAAAATGTTATAGTGCACTGGGCCAAGGACTGGCCCTCCAGTATCCCATTTGTTACTTCTCCCCAGTTTGAGGTGCCACTGATAAACACACTTTGAGTCTAACTTAGCCAATGGTAGATCCACCTGATGGTTGTTCCATCTAGCCCACTTTCAGCTAGTTTGATAATCATAATCATGGGGCACAATGTCAAAAGCTTAGCTGAAGTCAAGATAGATTATGTCCACATAATTCCTACAGTCAGTCTAGGAGGTTTCCCAATCAAAATATGAAATCAGATTAGTCTGGCAGGATTTGTTCTTGAGGAATCCATGTTGGATGCTAATAATCACTGTATTGCTTTCAAGGTGTTTGGAGACTGACTACTGCCTAGAGAGGTGGTGGGCGTTCCCATACTGGAGACAGGCAGAGATAAGGATAAATCTTTCAGTCTTTGTAAGGTGTAACCTATCCCTTGCCAAGAGTACATCTTCCAGGAAGTGTCGCACAAGGCCCTAGAATTCAAATTCACACTGGCACCAACTTAGTAGCAAGGCATTCACTAGGACTATTTTTCTTTCCCTGTATATTCCTCTTCCAATAACTGGAAGGATTCAAGAGAAAACTATACAAAGTTCTTGACTTTCCTCCCTGAACTTTCAAAGTCTGATGCAATTCCTTCAAAGATCTGCTTGGCAGTATAAGAAGGAAGGGACACATGTCAGTGGGCTGTATAAGCCTTGGCAAAGTTTCAGTTATATCACTAATCTGCCCTCCAGGGAGACAGCATACTTGACGAGTCCACATGTCTTCTTGACATATACGTGTTTCCATCCCACATGCTTGTTGTTCTTGCAAGCCTTTGTATAATTAGCACAACTTGGTTGACCTCTTGCCTCTGGTTCATTGTTGCACAAGATGACTCCTCCACAGCAGGCTGCCCTCCAGTCTCATCTAAAGTAACTTGATGTGGCTCTATAGTTTCACTGCTTCCACTAGTGCAGAGTGTCTTCTAGTTTTTTCTGCACCTAACAGTTACCCTTTTCCAGGAAATGAGGAAGAATTTCCCCTTCCCTTGGGATTCTCTTCTTCTGCATGAAGAAGAGAATCTTTATGTTGCACTTCTAACTTCTGTACTAGACACTGCAATTCCACTGCTCTGTCTAAAAACTCTTCATCTGCTTTTATCATCTTGAGGGTAGACACTCACCACTCTAGTTTTTCTTCTAACAGGGCTCCTACTTTGCACTTGTTGCACGTGTAGGCCATGCTGACCTCACTCAATTGTTCCAAAGATACAATAAGTCTCAGAGACATTCCTAACCCAATGTCACCTGAAACATACATAAGTTTCCTAGAGAGTATCTTCTAAAATATGCTTCTCAAGGAAAGCTGCCTCTTAACCTGGTTAACAGTACCATGCTCACTCAAGTTCTTTATTGAGATTTTATTGTTATGTTATAAAAATACAGGAAAATAGTTGTAAAAAAAAAGAGTGGCAGTATGTATGAATCCAAAGAGAAAGCAATTCAGAGCTAGTTTACAAGTATTTTTACAGGTTTCTCAAGCAGAATGATATCCCTAACGTGACTAGATTGAACATTAGTCTCACCCATCTCAGACCCTGTCAAAACAATGACATATGAGCAACTTTATCCCCAAAATGTCTAAACAAACTACTCACAGGTGGACCTTTGACAGTTTGGATTGTTGTGTTCTAGATCCCACAGATAAGTGGTAATATTTATAATAATCTTAGCCCTTACGCAGTGTCTTTCAGGATGTCAAAAAATCATTATTTATCAAGCTCTATTTGATGCGCTTACCAAAGGCTACCTGGGAGAATTCCCTACTAAACACAGTGGGATTTACTTCTGGGTGTTGTTGTTAGTTGTGAAGTCACGTCCGACCCATCGCAACCCCATGGACAACATTCCTCCAGACCTTCCTGTCCTCCACCATCCCCCGGAGTCCACTTCAGCTCACACCGGCTGCTTCAGTGACTCCATCTAGCCACCTCATTCTCTGCCATCCCCTTCTTCTTTTGCCATCTATTGTTCGCAGCATTAGGCTCTTCTCCAGTGAGTCCTTCCTTCTCATTAGGTGGCCTAAGTATTTGATTTTTATCTTTAATATCTGGCCTTCTAAAGAGCAGTCAGGGTTGATCTCTAAGACTGACTGGTTTGATCTCCTTGGGACTTGCAGGAGTCTTCTCCAGCACCACAATTCAAAGGCCTCAATTCTTAGGCGCTCTGCCTTCCTTATGGTCCAGCTTTCAAAGCCATACATTGCAACTGGGAAAACCATAGCCTTGACTATACGCACTTTTGTCAGCAGGATGATGTCTCTGCTTTTTAGTCTGCTGTCTAGATTTGCCATAGCTTTCCTCCCAAGGAGCAAGTGACTTTTAATTTCTTCTCATGATATGGTCTGCATATAAGTTAAATAGGTAGGGCGACAGTATACAGCCTTGCCGAACTCCTTTCTCAATTTTGAACCAATCAGTGATTCCATGTCCAGTTTTCACTGTTGCTTCTTGACCCACATACAGGTTACTCAAGAGACAAATACAGTGTCTTGTACTCCCATCTCTTTAAGAACTTGCCACAATTGGTTGTGATCCACACAATCAAAGGCTTTAGCATAGACTATGAAGCAGAAGTAGATGTTTTTCTCGAACTCCCTAGCTTTCTCCATGATCCAGTGTATGTTAGCAATTTGATCTCTAGTTCCTCTGCCTCTTTGAAATCCTGCCTGTACTTCTGGTAGTTCTCGGTCCACATACTGCTGGAGCCAGCTTGTAGGATTTTGAGCATAACTTTGCTAGCATGTGAAATGAGTGCAATGGTGCGGTAGTCTGAACATTCTTTGGCATTGCCCTTCTTTGGGATCGGAATGTAAACTGACCTTTTCCAATCCTGTGGCCACTGCTGAGTTTTCCAAATTTGCTGGCATATTGAGTGTAGCACTTTAACTGCATCGTCTTTTAGGATTTTGAATAGCTCAGCTGGAATACTGTCACCTCCACTAGGTTTGTTGTTGCTCAGGCTTCCTAAGGCCCATTTGACTTAACATTCCAGGATGTCTGACTCGAGGTCAGTGACCACCCCATCGTGGTTATCAGGGACGTTAAGCTCT